GCGCAGGCCTGGGCAGGGGGCCGATCAGGTGATCGGAGGGTGATGGGGGTCTACGCCTCTGGCCAAGGCATCAGGCCTGGGCAAGGGGCAGAGCCAGCAACCGGAGGGGTCTGGGGGTCCCCTGCCCAGGCCTGATGCCTGGGCCAGAGGCATCAGGCCTGGGCTGGGGGCACAGAACCAGTTGGGGGGAAATGAGTGTCCCCTGCCCAGGCCTGGGCAAGGGGCCGATCCTGTGATTGGAGGGTGATGGGGGTCAATGCCTGAGGGCTCCCAGTATGTGAGAGGGGGCAGGCTGGGCTGAGGGATATTCCCCCCCCACCACACACACCCAGTGCACAAATTTCGTGCACCGGGCCCCTAGTAAAAAATGAAAGTGAATCTCTCTTCGTATGCCATTTGTTTCAGGATACATTATTAATTCTATCTCTTCCCTACTCTTGCAAACAGGCCTGTTCTTTCAATAATGTTTTGAATAGCACAGTGATAAATGGAGTCTAGACATAGTCTAAGACAACTGTAATACACGAGCTAAGAACAGCCACATAAATAGAAACAACCAGCACGTTCATAACTGTTCTGTTTTCACTCTCATGCAAGATAAGTAATACATTTTTAAGACTCAGCTTGTGTTCATTATATTTGCTAATATCAGCCAACAAAATAAAATATATTTCATTCACTTGAATATTACAGAATATTACAGAATTATATTTTGTGGTAATTTTAGTCAATCACTTAAAATACTGCAATTTACAAATGATTGTATTTGACTCAATCCTTCATACATCAAAGTGAAGAAGAGCATACTTAATTTATATGTTAATTATTCTTCATTGAGAAGTTTCTGTTTGGTCTTTGAAAAAATATATAATTTAGGTCTACTGGAATTGTATCTAAATGGACATTCTTCAAATTTCATGCATAATTGGAGAATTAATGAAGAATATTCTTTCAAAAATTATTTACAGAGAGGATTGGATGCTCAAAACCTCATGATACGTAATTAGGTAGCTCTCCTGATCAAAACTGCTAAGAAAAATAATATTCAGATTCCTAAGCATGACATGAAAGGCTATAAGATGAACATTTTTAATTTTGGTTGTTCTACATTGGTTATTATTTTACAACACCTAGGTAATTTCTTCTTCAGGACTTACCTTCTTCCCAAAGGAAGTTTAATGAGGAACTGCTAATTCACATGCCCTGTCTCTCCTGCTAAGAGGCAGGCATGTGACCGCAGGCTGACCACACACTTCCTTTTTGGAAAGCAGATATCAAGAAGAGTGTTATCATTTAAGCAGCAGCAGACTTTAGCTAAATGGTTCCTTCTTGGTGATTATTCTTGTGCTTTAGCTCTTTTCCAAGTCTAGCTCTTTACATTGATGCCATTTACTCCCAATAGAACTTCCAATAAATTTGCTTTTACTCAAATTGGAGTAAACTTTTTGCTTGCAACCCAACGAACCCTCACTGATAACAACTTTCATGACCTGGCCCAGCCTTATTTCTCTTCAGCATATGCCATACTAAACTCTGGTCCTCAGACTTGATAAATAAAAGTCACCTGAAAGTCCTAATATAATACAGACTTCAGTTCTGAGATTCTATTGCACTGGCCTAGGAACCTCACTTTGAGAACCACTCCTGTCTAGAGCACTGTTTCCTGCCTGTCTCCCAAAACGTACCTCCTTTTTAGGCAGGGTGGCCAACTGTCCATTTTGCCCAAGATTGAAGCATTTCCAGAGCTGGGGCTTTCAGTACTTAAAAAACACAGTCTTGAGCTAGAGTTATATAAGAACTACAGCTGGAAAGAACTATTTCTTCTCCACCCACAGGACATAGAAGTGAAATGTACACCCTTTCATTCCACTCTCCCTTGCTCCCCATTAAGGAAGGACTTGGGAGACTTTCTCAGCAGCTAGATGAACCATTTACAAGACTGCCTCTCACTGGTATAGATATTATTTTTTTGATGCAGAGAATGGATAAGTTGATGTTTTAGGCGTATATATACAGAGACCAATTTATTTATTTATACTGCCATAGCTGAGAAAGCAGTCACTCCTGCACTTGGTTCTTACCTTGAGTTCACCAGAGGAGAACATGCTGATGTAATTGTTGACCATCTTAAACACAAAGCCCCGGTCCATAAACGTAAAGCAACGCTAAAAATGATAAAATTTTAAATTAAAACATTTTTACTTTAAAGATCATTAAAGATTTTGAAAAGATAATGAAATTTATTGAAATAAAATAACATTTAACTAAATGTGTTGTGTCCTGAGTGTTCTAAAAACCTCTCAAGTATGTTTAAGCATTTGTCCACATATGGCAACTAGTTAAAATGTTAGCTATATCAGAAAGCTACAAACCCATATTAATCAATTTTATACAACATCACTTAGAGCTTTGCAATTAAATATTAGAGCCTTTTCCTTTTCTATAGAAAGTTTTAGCTTTTACTTGTGTTTATTTTTTCAAGAGTTACATTTTATTATTTTCCTTTAGCAATTCCATTCCTGTACTGGACAGCTCTGGAAAGGAACAGGGGTGGCAGAGATGGGTCATAAAAACCTTTTAAAATCTCACTAGTCTCCTTCAACAGAGGAGCCTTTCTTTCAGGTAAGGCAGCTTGAATTTGAGGAGCGAAGGAAAGAGTTCCTGAGATTCCTCTCAGGGAGCTGCTCACTGTCTTTCTTATTCTGTTGTCAGACTCTCTTAAGTGTAATGAGGGTGCAAACAGCAGGAAGTTTTGGGGAGACAGGCAAAAACAAACCAACCCATAAAAAGTATTCCAAGTAGGAAAGATAGATAAAAGTATTCATCAAACAGTGTTAGTTGTGACTACTCATAAAAAATGAAGATTTGAATCAATTAACATTGAGGATATCTCACGCCTGTTAGCATGGGGGCTTGAACGGAATTGCACCTCATCACTGTACCTTAAGAAACCTGGCGATGCTGTGGTTGGCCCTTTTTGTTTCTTCAAGGGCGTCTTTATATTTCCAAATCATGTGATCGGCTAGGACCATGACCAGATTGTCCAATTCATTTTGGTATGATTCAGGAAACCTTTGAGCCCGAGAAAGCTAAGAAAAGAATAGATCATTTCTTTATAATGTGGCATATGAAATGCTAAGCCTGAAAAAAAAATAAACTGGAAATTTGAATGCAATAATAAAATAGAAGCCCTTTTAATTTCAAGGTCATGATTTCCATAATTTTCATTTAATGTTTTCTTCTCCTTTGGCCAATAAAATTTTCATTTAAAAAGTAAATTATAACATATTTTAATTGCAAGCTATTAAAACATGTAACATTTTTCACATCTTTTTTTTCCATTACAGTTGACATACAACATTATTTTCAGGTGTACAGCATAGTGATTAGACATTTATATAACTTACTAGAGGTCTGGTGCACAAATTTGTGCATGGGTAGGGTCCCTTGGCCTGGTCGGTGATCGGGGCCCATTGGGGCCCTCTCACCCAGTTCTGATTGGGGCCAGCGGAGGTGAGGGGGGCAGGAATCGTGGGAGGTTGGCCAGCTGCGGGAGATTGGCTGTGGGAGTGCACTGACCACCAGGGGAAGCTTCTGCATTGAGCGTCTGTTCCCTGGTTTTCAGTGCGCATCATAGCGACCAGTCAACTGGTCATTCGGTTGTTTAGTTGTTAGATTGTTTAGGCTTCTATATATATATAAATGAGGTGATCCTTCTGATAAGTCTAGAACCCTGGCACCCACAATACATAGTTATTATATTATTGACTATATTATCTCTCACATCGTAATTCCCCTCCCTTCCCTTTCAGGAAGTACATACTATTAATGGTTTAATAAATATTGGTCTAGATTTTCTTAGACACATTTAGTGAAAAATCAAGTACTTAGATTTTTTTTAAACTAAAAATCCCCCAATTAGCAACTCTAAGAAATCAATGAATGACTAAGTAACTAAATGAGTACAAATATTGGCTTAAAATGTCCTTTATAAGCAGTGAGATACAGTTAGTCTTTTTAAAATTTTATTTCAGCTTTATTGAAGTATAAGTGACATATAAAATTGTGAGATATTTAAAGTGTAGATCATATTTTGATACATTTATATGTGAGGGTCAAAGAATTTCCCTCATCTAGTTAATTAACACATCTATCAATTCACATAGTTATCTTTTTTTTTTTTTGTTTGGTCATTTTTGTTTTTGATGAGAACATTTAAGTTATTCTCTTTTAGCAAATTTCATCATCTGCTATAATCACCATAGTTTATGTTAGGTCTTCAGATCTTACTCATAGATGAAAGTTTGTACCAGCCAGTCTTTACTTCATGGTCTCAGCATTTGCCACAGCGGGCACCAGTGGGACATCAGAGTCAAGAGATTTCTGCCACAAGATGCAAAATGGTGTGGCTAGGAGTATACATGTGTTACATGGAATGAAACTCCATGGGTCCCTAAAGACCAGCATTAGGTCCAGGAATCCACTCCTGCTGCCTGAACTCCTGCCCACAAGGGAGAAGTCCAGGCAGCTGAGACTTCCCATCTCAGGCTCTACTTCATGAATTTACATGGCCCCTTTTTCATGAGAAAGTCAAGATTCAATCATCTTTACAAGTCAACTTTATCATTAGACTCATATTTCACTATAGATAGAAACACAAAAATCGATGTTAGACTGCGCCTAAATTTCTAAGATTCTGAGTACCCAGCCTTGCATGCTGCAAGAAGGAAAACCATGGAGATTAAAGTGACACACAGTCATTTCTCCTACTTAAAAAGCAATGAACATATATTGCTATGGTTTACAAAGCAAATACCAATGGAACTACTGACAGCATGCTCATGAGCATAATTGTTGGGTAGCATTGTATTACCTATGATCTTACCTGAATTTTATTTGTGTCAATCAAGTGTTGTGCCATGGATTTCAGAATAATTGCAAAGAAGAACCAGGAATGCTGTTAGGAAAAGAAAAGGCAGTGAGAAATTTGTTCTATGGTAAAATAATGATAATTCTGTTCTTTACATCATGTAATATTATAGAAACTTTATCTTACAGTGTGTTCTTTGAACGTAAATCCATCAGAGCAATGATAAGTGTTAGGATGATCTATACCAAAGTCTTAATGGTAAAAGTAAATAGCAGACATTTCAGTTTCTCTGTCATCTCAAAGATGTTTAAAACAAGATGCCAGTTTACTTGGGATGACTAATTAAAGAATAGTCCTATGCAGTATTTATCTATGAGGTTCTATTTGTTTCACTTATCTAAACAAAAGTAAAATTTTCTATATTAAAATATACCCTAGCAGGCCCACCCCGAATATTTTAAGGGGCAGAGGCAAGATAAAAAATTGAAGCTACAAGTCTTAAAGTTCAAAGTTCATGCTAACAAAGTTTGATCATCCTACCTTAACAAACATAACTCCATGACAACGTGGAATGTTGTACCAGAATATGGGGCTCTCAGGGGAGAAGAACCCTGGCCTATAGCCTCTTGTCACCCAAGGTTCAGTCCTGCACCTAGAGGGATTTGGTTCATGTGTGACTGTCCAGCCTGCACATCCAAGTGTCCACAAACTAGTCTCTCTCTTCCACTGCACACTGCTCCCCACTTGGTTCTAGGGTTGTACTCAGGCAGGAAGATTTTCCCAGTGAAGGAGGGACTTAGGAATGAGGTCTAAGTAGGCCTGCGAGGAAGCCTGTAAGCCCATGAGGCGGGGGCTCTGGGGTTCCTCAAATATTAAGAAGGCATGGGAGGAGCTCCCAGTGAGCATTCCTCTTGGCTACTGTTATATCCTTGCCCATGGGGTGGGGCTCAGTCAGAAAAGACTAAAGCAAGCACTAGGATGAAGGCTTTTCTTTCCTAGGTCCAAGGGTAAAAGGGTGATACTCATCCCAGATAAAAAAGTCTATGTTGTATATGTACAGTTTAAATAATGCACCCCCCATCCTCTCTCTTTCCCCTCCCTTCCACTACAAACAATCCTGAATTTTATTGTAGTCATTCCCTTGCTTAACTTCATAATTTTGCTACCAATATCATACATTGAAGAAATAAATTTAGTTTTGCTTGCCACTAAATTTATGTAAATGAAATCATCCTGTAGGTATTCTCCTGTGATTGCCTTTTTCATTCAACAAATTCTGTTTTGAGGTTCATTTATGTTGCATCATGAAGCTGAGGGTCCTATCATGATAGATAATTAATTAAGCTGGGGGCTAAGTTCACTCTTTTACAATAATTTAGAGCTGTCTTTTCATAAACTTTTTACCATCCCTGCCTTATTGTTTCAACTTTTTAGTGTTAAAGAGTGGCTGTTTCTTGGCTTCCTCTCTGTTGTCAATATATTTATTAACATATCATTAATTCTTTTGTTGGTATATAATATGCCTAATAAACTCAACACACTTGATTTTTATTACACTTAGAAGAATGTTTGAGGTAACTCTTTGTAGACATTTATTCTGTCTTTAGGCTAAAGAACTTAACTGAGGTCCATTTTATTCTTAAGATGATCTTTTCTGTTGACATAGACCTCTCTTGCTTAATGCTTTTATATGCTACAGTTTCAATATGTGTATGCTAGAAACTATAAGAGAAATGATCTGCGAAAATCAGTGGATTCTATCACCTCTTGGGGGTGAGAGTGAACCTTATACTAATAATGAAAGAATCATCTTTCAATTCCTTACCTTCAAGACATGTTTAATTGTTGTTGAGTCATTTGATTTCAAAAGACCAGTCACATTTTTAGCCAGTTCCTCATGTATTGTTCTCTCTTTGCATGCCCTGGTCTTGAACACGAACTGAACAAAATCCAAAGAGTGAAATAAGTAAGATGCTTTAAAAAAACAGCACTTCAAAAATAATGTTCCATGAATAACTCATAACTCAAAACTATCTGCTCATACCAGATTTTGTCATGAAATAAATGAAGGCCCAATGAGAAGAGCAGTACACACCTGTTCCTATTTATGGCTTTGCACAGGTAGGGCCTGGCTCACCTAAACTCTCCTTGAAACTCTTTTTGTAGAAATCAAAGGAAGAGTGAGAGTGCAATTTAGCAGGTTCAAGGAAACATGGAGGGCTTTGACCCACCTACTTAGGACACATTTCCCCTTCTCCTTCCTTCCACTGGTAACAGGTGGCATGGTAGCATTTCTTCATCCTGAAAGGGTAGAGCACCCACTCAAATAGCCAAGTGGGGAAGCAGGTGCCTTCCAGAGGCCAGTAGGTGAGCTCCCCACATGCCCAGGGCCTACCACCTCATGCTTAGGCACAGGCATCAAAGAATCATGAACACTGGCCATCAGTAAGATAACACCTACTCACTTTTTTATTTCTCAAAAGATTGGTTTTTGCATGCACCACTGAGTGCATATAATGGTTTTAGTTTTCAGTTTTTCTTCATCTATCTTAAGGATAGTAACATCAATTTTTACATGTATATTTCAAATATAAAATGCTTATTACTGAATTACACTATTTTACTAATGAGTTTGGTTTGCCTGAAGGGAGGTCATTTTTTCAGAATATCCACAATTCAGACTTCATTATAATCAGGAGTGAAGGCAAGAAAGAAACTCAAAGCAGAGGCACATTCAAATTTGGATCTGTAATTATTTGTTTGAACTTCATTGTTCATCAACAGATAAGTGTCCTGATGGGGCCTGACTTCTCCAAGTTCATCCCAGAAGAGAAAGAAAAGCTAAGAGATACATGAAACTAGCTGAAGTCAAGAGTAATATGATTTTTCCCCTTGATCATGACTCATGTGAGGGTAATGTCATAACCACCTAATATCATGCACAGTCATTTAGGCCTAAGGGCATTATGACTAGTTCTGAAATATTCTTATTTTACAATTTTGGCTATCACATGTCAGTTCCATGAATTTCTGTAGCCCATGGCATTTCATTAGATTAACTTTAGACACACATTTTTGAAAAAGACATGGTGTATGTGTGTATTTTGGATACCATAGATGGTTGAGTTAGCAGCATTTAGCACCACTGAACTTGAAATGGTGTTTAGTTTGCTTCTGAATAAATATTAATTGCATTGAAATATCACATCTCTCAAGGACATCAAAGCATATGTAGGTAACAGATCATCAGTTGTCATTACACTCCTACTTGTGGGGCTTAATATCTATCTACATGTTAAATAATGTTTCCCACCAAAGGTAAAAAAAAAATCAGACTCCTTGGTCAAGGTCCGACTGTCAACCATGTACTACAACAGGAGTCCAATCACAGAATCATAGAGCTGGTTCATCTGGCCTATCCCATCTCACTTCACAGAGGAGAAAAGTGAGGTTCAGAGAAGCTGACTGCTCAAGTTAACTATTTAACCGAATTTGAACCCCGTCAGAGCAAGCTAAATAAGCAGCCTTCTATTACAAAATCAAATGATCTCATCAGGATATTTCAAACATCCTGGTTAGAAATAAAGACCACACCAGGATGCATTGCCAATATACTTCTCCAAGAGTGTCACAGATGGAGTCTCAGAGCTGATGTTAAGGTTCTCATAAGATCTAGACTTGACTGTCACAAAAATGTCACAACACCAGTGGGTTCTTAATGTAATTTTCAATGATTCCTTTGGAATAAGGTATATAATAACTGCATTGAAATGAAGAGGACTTTGTGTAATGTGGACTGGAGAATTTGTTTTGTCTCAATGCCTTTGAGGAGTGAATGGAAAATTGAGGTAAGCATTGAGAGAGTAAAAGTTCAGTAGATGGTTCTGTTGAATATAAATTAATCAGCACCATATAAAGCATGCAAAAACTCTATCTTTAAACAGAGAGCAAATTAAAAAGGCGTTTATAGGTGAATCTAAGAATCTGGCTTTCTGAAAATGAAATGTAGATCATATTGAGTAAAATTAGAGCAAAGGGAAATGATTGTGAAGTAACATGATTTTTTGGCATCTGGGCATACACTTAAAGTTAGGTATTTGGGAAACGATCTAACATTTCGGGCAGGTAGAAAATATATTAATATAAAACTGTAATAAAAACATTTCTCACTGATGGTATTTCAGAGGGGTTCACTCCAGAATGACATTTCTAATTATTTCCTTTAACAACAGGTATTTTTTTTTTAAAGAAAAACACAACCGCCCCCCGCCCAAGTTTCTAGCATAAAAAAACCCTTAAATTCTTTTCTAGTCGCCTTTCTAGACATCTAAAATATATGGGTATATGACTATCAATATGTATTAGTGCAATACATTATTTTAATTAAAATGGTCTATGTCTCAAAAAGATTTCACCTATGCATAGAGAAGATAGAAATTTAGGTCCTCTATGCATCATAAAGTGAACTAAGCTATCTTTGGTTGGGTTATTTTTTTTCATTCAAAAAGATGACATTCAGACAGGATTTATAATGTGCAAACATCATCGCAAGTTCACGGGCATTAATTCACAGGCCAACTGGAAATGAGAATATAAACTTGAAGGACACTGGAAGAAGCAGTGCACAGTTGATGGAATGGGCTAGTGGTTCATGCTGGAGGATAAAGGACTTAACATACCAGAAGCAGGTACAAATATACAGTAACTGGGAAAATGAAAAAATGCCTGAGAAAACAATAAGAAAAGCTAAGAAAACATTATAGAAGAAACATAGAGCATTCAACAAACCAACAGGAAAAAAATCTTCCTTAAATTTACACAGAAATTTCATTTCTTATAATGTTGACGTCCAAAGGACAATATTTTTCTTCTCTAGCTCAAACTTTTTGGCTGTTTTCCACCATATAAATATTCATTTGTACATGTACATGTTATTTATTCACTTATACATTCAAACAATACATCTAGCCCATCAATGCAAAGAGAAGAAATTCTAAGTAGCTAAGAGGAATGCTTGGTATTACTATGGTAGACACCATCCAGCTAAAGAGAAAAACTTCCCACTTATGTAGACAGGAAATGAGACAAGCCACACAGCACAAGGACATAGGACCAATGTCCAAGTGGTGATTTCATACCTTAATGTATGACTGGACAGCGTAGTCCAATTGTTCCTCGTGGCATTTGGCGACGATGTCAGTCAGAACCCTGGAAAAATAGAGATGTTCAGTGGCCTTTCTGGAGAAGGCAGAAAAATTCCACTGGGTTTGTCACAGGAGTGCTTGAAAATGGTACTTACTAGTTAATGAATAAATGAATGAACCAATTTCAGACTCTCCTTCATCCCTTGTACCCCTTCAATATTGAGTATTTAATATCTATAGTACCTGTTAGCCATTTCCAAGCTTGAAATCTCTAAAAACTAGATGTAAGTAATGTCTTATGGCTGTCGTATCACAGTGAAGATTTCTTTTTTGCCTGAGCTGAATGTGCTATTATGGTGTCTGTGTTTGCTGGCACCGTCTTCTTGGGAAAAGGATCATTTTCAGTGCCCGATTAAAACTTAAGATCTTTAACCTTGAATGATCATATTCATTTTTAAAGGGCTTCACTTCCAACCTAGAGGCACTATATGTCAATGCTTTTGGAAAAAGTAATTAGGTTAAGATGTATAGTCTTTTTTCCCCTACCCTTAGCTGGGACAGGGTTTCTATAGCAGTGGTGGTAAGGGTTGGTATTTTCACATGAACACTTCCAGTTACTCCATATGGAGCTGTTGTGTTTAAGAATATCTCAGAATTTCAACAGATCTATCAGCTAAAATACTTAGGGATCTTGTCAACACAGACCCATATACTCATGCTATAACAGCACCCATTGAAGATAGAGCTGGGGACTTTTAATCTGTGTCTAGAACTGGCTGGTCATGGAACTGTTAGAGCTGCCTTCACTTTCCAGAGCTTCATGGCTCCACTTTAGTAAAAACAAGGCCAAAGAGTCTGGCAGGCGTTGCTCAGAGGTTGAGCATCAACCTGTGAACCAGTAGGTCATGGGTAGATTCCTGTGCAGGGCACATGCCTGGGTTGCAGGTTCCATCCCCAGTGTGGGATAAGCAGGAGGCAGCTGATCAATGATTCTCTCTCATCATTGATGTTTCTTTCTCTCCCTCTCCCTTCCTTTCTGAAATCAATAAAAAATATATTAAAAAACCCCCAAACAAACAGCCAAGGCCAAAGACCCTCCTTCTGAAAAAGGCTAATCATATGCCTGTGAGTTCAGAAGGTACTGCAAACATGTCAATGCCAAGAGTAATTTTATTTCTGGAATGCTGTGACTAATTGAAAAACAACATTAGGAATAGATGATTCAATAATTCAAAACATGATCTCTATGAAGAGGAAATTGTGATTACCAAAGTCACCAGACAGATTAGTAATGTTGGCAGAATGTGTAGCATAGATAAACATAAAGTGAGAAGAGTTGAAAAATAGAATATTTTTAAAAAAGAGCTGTTGGGAATGTAAAATGGTACAGCCACTGTGGAAAACAACTCAACATTTTCTTGAGAACTCTCGTACAACCCAGCAATTACACTGGTCATTTTTTTTAGTGATATGAGAATTTATATTTACCCCAAATCTACCCCAAACTGGAAACAACCTGGTGAATTGTTAAACATATTGTGGTATGGAATACTGCTCAGAAATAAAAAAAAGAAAGGAACTATGGATAGATGAAACAACCTGGATGAGTCTCCAGAGGATTAATCTGAGTGAAGAAAAAACAACAACAATCCCAAAGGGTAGCTATAGAGATAGATATGTCATAGATATGTGTATAGATACATAGATGAAGTTATATATATATATGTATATATATATATATATTTCTTTATTTCTTAAAATGACAAAATTTTGGAGGTGGAGAACAGTTGAGTAGTTACCTGGGATGAGGAGTGTGGGTGGGGATGAGAGGGAAACAGTTGTGGAGAGGGAGTGCTCTGTATTCTGAGTCTATCAATGTCAATATCCTGGTAGTTGCTACTGTACTGCAGTTTTACAAGATGCTGCCTTTGGGGTAAATTGGGTAAAAGGAATATGGGATCTCTCTGCATTATTTCCTACAACTGCATGTGAATCTATAATTACCTCAAATTAAAGAGTTTAATTAAATATCACAAAGGAAAGCTGAAAAAGACATAATATTTTACTCAAATTATAACAACAGATGATTAGAAATCAAGAGTAAGAAATACTTAAATTAGAGATATGTGTTCAAATGAAAGGCAAGCATACACAATTAGGTGACCATTCAGTTATAATCAAATTTCTGTGTAACCACAGATTAAAAAAATCTCTTCTCCTGAGGCTGTGTTATGGATACCTGGTCACAGTTGTACTTATTTCATCTTCCTCATTCTGGACCAAAACCTTGAAGAGCTGGTTCAAGATTATAGGCAGAAAACTCATGATCGCATGAATCTTTTCCACATTCAATAAGTTCTGTAGTAAACCAACAGGAAACAAAAGGGCACTGATTAAATGAAAGCCTATTCTGCTGATGGTTTTCAGAACTTGCTCTTCACTGCATTTAGCATGGTGTGCAGGCATGGGGGCAATGTGGCAATGCGATTTTAAAAACGAATTTAAAATCAATTGGCTTTAATTTTCAATCATTCTTATTTTGAAACACCTACTATGCTTGTTTATTAATCCACGGACAGAATTGTGAAATGAAATAATTGACTCTCTTCATTGATAAGGCATTTAAAAATCTTCAATGATAATTAGCTCTTACTTTGTGAGTCAATGAAAATTACAAAGGTCCCTTTGACCCATTTCTCCCCCATAGACCACTGAAATGATTTGCATGTCACATTACCTTACAAGAGCGGACAAAATTTGAGGTAGGTGACTGAGAAATATCTTTCTCCCTTTTTTGGCATTCTCGGAAAAATGCGTTCACATATGGATCCTGAAACAGCAAAAATAAAAGTGTTTATTTCTGAGGACATGTAAACTGTGTAACAATCACGGTGATGGGAGGCAGCCTTTCTGTAGGATCGATGCCTCCATGTGCAAGTGCTTTATGAAAGCGTCAATGACAGCTTTCATTTCCGCTTCTCATGGAGGGCTAGAGTTGAAATAAACTACGAAGCCAACTCTCTTCCCTATTTCATGCTCATAGATTTGTTTTCCTTCTCGGCTACATGATAATGGCTGGAGAATTACTTTCCTTGGTTTTCTACATTTTTTGTTTTGTTTTTTAAATTGCCTTCTTTCATATTCTTGCTCCTGTTTCTTCCACAGACTGCTATCAATTTTTCTTACATATTCCATAACACATATGAGGAATGCATAGGGATCTTTTCAGACTTAACTGCCAGAGCTAATAAAAAACTAGGAAGTTCACACTAACATCATGATATAGCATGACTCTTACCCTTTGTGTTCTTCCAAATTTATAGGTTGTTATCCTAACTCTCAGTACCACAGGCTATGACTGTGTTTGGAGGTAATTAAGTTAAAGTGAGACAGTTAGAGTGGCCCTAGTCTGATATAACCGATGTCCTTATAAAAGCATAAATTTGGACACCAGACATGTGCACACACAGAGGAACAACCACGTGGGGACACAGCCAGAAGGCCAAGGAGAGAGGCCTCAGAAGGAACCAACTCTGCCGATGCCTTCATCTCGGACTTCCAACTTCCAGAACTGTGAGAAATAAATGTCTGTTGTTGAAGCCACCCCATCTGTGGTATTTTGTTATGCCAGCCCCTGCATATTGATACACCCTTTAATGGTATTTACTAAAGAGAGTGGCATTTTGGAAATTCTCTAAATTCTGTGCTGAGGGGTCAGATACACTCTCTTGGTCTATTTGTCAATTCCAGAAGGCCATCTGTGGTTTGGGAAAGACCATTACATTTGGCCTGAGGCACCTGAGATTACTGAGAGAAGTTTTGATACGATCTATGTGTGGTCCTAATTTATTTCTTTTTTCTTAGCAACTACGTATGTACTAAATTTAAAGTGGCATGAAACAAAAATCAAAAAGCAGATATACAGAGACTTTAAGGAAAGAGAAAAACGTGTTCTAGGTACTTGTGATCATTTGCTTTGCAGTTTATAATTGGTGCCAGGAATATGCTCACATTGGGGTAAAATATGCCTCACAAGGGGAGGGGTGCATTGTGGTAATGTGACAATGATCATAATTATATTTGTATCACATTTTGCAGTTCATGAAATACTTTCACATGTAATTTCTCACTTTAATCATCACCACACCCTTGGGTAGAGAGACTTAATTGTTATCCTTTTCCTGATGAGGAAACAGGGAATGCTGGGTGAAGTGACTTGCCCAGGGTCACTGAGCCAGAAGTTGGTCAAGGCAGTTATCAGAGGCAGTTCTGCTGACCTCAGGGCCTTTCCATTAGGAAAGCTTTGGTTGGGCATTGGGAGTTAGAGTTAGTCTTCAGGTAAAGGTCCAAAGTCTTTATTTTTAACATTTCACATTTTTAACACTTGGGTGTTGTCAGTGGAAGCAAACCATCTTCCAAGGAAGGTGTCATCCTGACAAATACACTCTGGTACTTTGGTGCCTGGACTTCTATGGATTAGGACGTTCTATTTCCCCTGGGAGAGGCATATAATTATGCATTCTTCCTTTTCTTTTTTCTTTTTAAATTTAATTTTATTGATTTTTTACAGAGAGGAAGAGAGAGGGATAGAGAGTTAGAAACATTGTTGAGAGAGAAACATTGATCAGCTGCCTCCTGCAACCCCCTACTGGGGATGTTCCCTCAACCAAGGTACATGCCCTTGACTGGAATCAAACCTGGGACCCTTCAGTCCGCAGGCTGAAGCTCCATCCACTGAGCTAGACCGGTAGGGCACATTCTTCCTTTTCAATCACCAGCTCTTCTGCCACCCTGTGAAATGGTGAGTCTCCTGTTGGACAAGATACTGACATTTCAGACACCATGCTCACCTGAGTATTCACTGTTGAGACAACAAATGTAGAGACTTTGAAAAGTGGTTTCCCACCATCAACCCACTTCACGTCACTCCCGCCCTGCTACAAAAAAGAGTTTGTTACTGTTACTGTGGCAATCTGAGAGAAAGCAGATAAATAGGTTATTTAGTGTATGTTCATTTGCCATCCTGATCCATAATCTATATATAGAGAAAATAAAAGATGCAAATACACCTGGCAATATTGGTGAATGAGACCAGTGTGGTATCAAGGGATCATTGCTAATAGATCATTTCTGTTGGTCATAAAGTAAACAAGATCTTTGAAATATCGTAGGTGCACTTGATTCATAATTATAATGGATGTATAACTACATGGTTGGGTTCATTTAAATAGCAGAAAGAAGATAACCTCATGCCATTTAGCTCATGTATTTCTTTCTCTTAAATTATACATCATTCAGTACCTTTCCACTTGCAGAATCTTGAAAGCGTAAATAATTAGGAGGCAGGCTTGTAGCTATTGGGATATTGTACTCTTGAGAAGCTATCTGATTATGTTTCATCAGAGGAAGCCACGCATATCCAACTGTGCAGGGGAACAACAAAGAGTAAACTTTTGAGTACAAACCTCCATGGGGAAAGGGAACAATACAGTTATTTATTATGATTATAAAACTTCCCTAAAAATGGAATAAATCAGAGCTTTTAAAATACTCTCCAATTCAAGTCCAACAAATGAGATGAAAAGCTATCTCAGATTGCTTCCTGTCAGTACCTGATGTTTCCAGAGCCTCCTTCTTTTTGGCATTTGCTTTTGCATTTATGTCACAAGTGACATGATAAAAAGTAAAGAGAATATGGGGTTTCTCATGGAGTTGTGTTGGCAGCTCAATTTTCACCTGCAATGAAAGAGATAATAGTTGGACCAAGATTAAAATAATTTTCCCAGGGTCAGAGCAAGACAAAATTCTTTAAAGAATTCTTTCACTGAAATCTAGGTCTATGTTTAATTGTTAGTGTCCGAAGTACTGATTTAACTCTCACTCAATACCCATCCTGCTGGCAGTAATGTGTTAAGATGTTGATATTTTCACTTCTTTATTGTGGTCGATTGTGATAATTTAGAATACCTAGTATGTCTCATTAGATAATTTATGCTGTTATAGTAT